CTGCTAACTGCTGGGAATACAAATAAGAAAAAGAAAATGAGTCTCTGCCCTCAAAGAGATTACAATCTAATGGACGAAGACAAATCAAAAAAGGATGATCTGCCAGGTAGTACCCAGCACAGCAGCATGTTTCCTGGAGTCAAAACCAAGCAGAGCTGCTGATGGAAAATGCTTTTGAACTAGTTTATTGTTCCACCCTCCATTCTTTCAATCAGAGGGAAGAGGCAACTGAGGGAGCTGAGAAAGTGTTGAGCATCAAAAACTGAGTCAACCCGCCCAATGATGAGATTTCAGGTGATCAGCTCACCCTGGAGGAGGAATGATGTTCCACAGGAGTCAAAACCAAATAGAGTCACTGATGGAAAAGGAAGAATTTAATCAAAAGGGCTTTAAACCTAAAATGGACAAGGAGACAGAAGGAAAAGGCTGCCTCTGAAAATCCCTCAAATTATCCCAAATCCCAAATTATCTCCCAAATTATCCCACATCCCAAAATAATCCTCCAAACCTCCCAAAAAATCTACAAAAAAGGATCAGAATACCTATTAAAATATCTAGAAGTTCTTGAACAAAATCCAAGAAAGAAGCAAGAGTAAAACCCATGGCCTATGCACACATTAGCAAAAAGAACTATGGGTCTAGATGCAAGGAGATAAATTTGACCTCAGAGATATTAATGAGACTTTATAGATTAAAGCTTATGACAGAGACTATAGGCCCTGAAAGGACACAGTCAAACTATTCAAAATAAAAAGATAAGATAAAGATGGAGAGGTAGCATTGCATATTAAGAAAATATGCTTATATGAGGAAATCCAGGAACTAGATGGAGGAAGCATGATGGAAATTATTTCAGTGAAAGTCAAGAGAAGAAAAAAATAAATTTTATCACTGAAGTATGCTACAGTTTGGGCAGCCAGGTGGCACAGTGGATAGAGTGCCATGCCTAGAGTCAGGAAGACCTGAATTAAAATCTAGCCTCAGGCACTTACTACCTGTGTCATCTTGGACAAGTCACTTAACCCTGTTTACCTCAGTTTCCTTATCTGTAAAATGAGCTGGAGAAGGAAATGGCAAACCACTCCAGTATCTTTGCCAAGAAAACCCCAAATAGGATCACTTCAGTCAGTCACAACTGAAATGACTCAACAACATTCTATAGACCACTTGGAGAGAAAGCTGAAATAGATGAGGAGTTTGGCAACTGGATCCCAAGCCTGGCACAAAAGAATGATATAGTAGTAATAGGAGACTTTATGGAAGAAACAAAAAAGAGGAAATACTATGTTGGATCTGATTCTCACTAACCAGATGGAACTTGGTGCTGGGGTGAGAATGATGTGAACCTTGGGAAGAAGTGGCCATTCCCTCCTAGAGTTTATGAGTGAAAGGAAATGTGGCAACAATCTGAAAAAATAATTTTAAAAGCTTCAGAGGAAAGAAGTAGGATCCCATGGATTAAGATGTCACAAGGGAAGAATTCATCCCAGGAGGATAAGAGATGCTCAAGACACAAAGGGAAACAATTCCAAAAACGAGAAGGAAATAAGTGTTTTTTTTAAGATCACTATGGATACACAAGAAACTGACCAACCAACTTAGATTTTAAAAGGACTATACAAAAGATTGAAGCAAGGGCACATAAAAGAGGATGAATGTAAAAGTGTGGTGGAATAGTGTCTGAAATTATAAAGCTCAAAATGAGCTAAAGTTGGTAATTAAAAAGTGGTATTTAAAATAGCTATAGTGGAGGGAAAAAAAGAATAAACAGACTCTGTTTGGGAAGGATGGGGCTACAGAAGCAGAGCTGCTCGACTGTTAGTTTGCTTTTTTTGTCTACCAAGAGAATGGCCTTGAGAGTGGAAATCACAGAATAAAATAAAAAGGAACTGAAACACAAAATGAATAAGGAGTGAGAGAGTACCTACAATGCCCTTGATGATTTCAAGTCATTTGGCCCAGATGAACTCAAGCAATGAAAGAACCAGATGATGTGACTGATGAGAATTCCAAAACTAAATAAAGGTACCCCAATATAGGGAAAGGGAAAATAACCTGGACTTCGAAAACAAGAAGAAAACAGAGTCTACAAACTATAAGCCCTGAGCTTGACTAGTCTGAGAAAAGTCATTAAAAAGATAGTGTCTAAAATCTAAAAAAAGAAAGTAGTGATGACAAAGAACCAATATGGCTTCACTGAGATCAAATCACTAAACTAGTCAATGAAGAGAAGGCTGAGTATATATTTTCCTTGATTTTTGCCAAGCTTTTGATAAAGTAGAGGCATTGTGTCCCAGTAGGTAGAGAGCTGGCCTTGGGGCCAAACAGACCTCTGTTTAAGTCCTGCCTCCAACAAATCGATCTAGTGATCCCTGACAAGTCACTCAATCTCTCAGTGCCCTTAGCAACTCTCTCTCTTAAACTGTAAATTGCAGAAAAGGTGCCACTGACTTACAGTAAAGGGAGTCTCATCACCTGGGAATTCCCAATAGCAGTGGAATCACAGGTCTAGTGCCTATCCTTTTAATAAAGTATCTCTTAATATTTTTGTGGAGAAGGTAGAATAATCACATAATTAGCTATATCTAGAATAGGTTAAATGGTCAGACTTAAAGAAGAATTTTTAATGAATTGTCAATGTGGCAAGAAATCTCCAGTGAAGTTCCTCCACAGATCTGTTCTTTGCCCTATGCTAGTTAACATTTTTATAAATGACCTGGATAAAAGAATAGATAGCACGCTTATCAAACTAGCAGAAGACACAAAGTTTGTAAAGATAACTAACACAATGGATGACAGAGGTGGGATACAAAAGAATCTTGACAGACCAAAAAACTGGCTAAATCTAATAAGATGAAATTCAACAGGAATAAATGTAAAGTCTTACACGTACATACAAGAAAAAAAAATCAACTTCACAAGTATAAGAGAGTAAGGTACAGTTAGACCATAGATTGTCTGAAAAAGATCTGGAGTTTTAGGCGAACTACAATTTTAATACGAGGTGGCAACACAATGTACAACCAAAAAGTTAATGTGATCCTTGATGCTAATAATGGACAAAACTCTAGGAATAGGGATATGATGGTCCCACTGTACTCTGCCCACATCAGACCTCGCCTGCAGTGAACCCAACTCCGGGTGCCATGGTTGAAGGAGGATACTGACAAACAGGAGGGTTTTCAGAAATGAGCACCTAGAGGGGCAGCTAGCTGGCACAGCAGATAGAGCACTGGCCCTGAAGTCAGGAGGACCTGAGTTCAAATCTGGCCTCAGACCAAACACTTCACGCTTACTAGCTGTGTGACCCTGGGCAAGTCACAACCCCAATTGCCTAAAAAACAAAACAAAACAGAAAAGAACACCTAGGATAGTGAAGGGCCTCGAGTTCATGTCATATGAAAACCAGCTGAAGGAACAGGGCTTGTATAACTTGGAGAAGAGAAGACTCTGGGGGAATATGATAGCTACCTTCAAGTATCTGAAGGACCACCACGCACATGGAGGAGGAATCCAATTATTCTATTTGTTGCCAGAGCAAAGAACCAGGAACAATGGATAGGAGCTGAAAAAAATGCATATTCAGGCTTGATATCAGGAGGAAAAAAATCTTATTAATTAGAGCTGTTCAGGAGAGGCATAAGCAGTCTCAAGAGGTGGGAGTCTTTAAGAAAAGGTCAGATGACCACTTGTCCCTGGGAATTGGGAATTCCTTTTGCAGATGGCTGACAAAGACACCTCCAACTATCAAATTCTATGATTCTGTAAGTTTTGCCTTTCCTGGAGTTAGGAGCTGTTACACTGTGAACATGGAGATCAATTAGTATCTCGCTGGACCCCTGGATCTACAAAGTTAACCACTAAGAAGATCAATAAATAAGACGTTTAATTTTGTTTTCTATAAAATAAACACATTTTAAAACAAACCAGAATTTTGTAATTGAAACACACAGGTATGCATTATTATCTCCAGTGTTATATCTTCTTAAAGCTATCTAGCTTGTATTGGTGGCCTTGCATATAACTGTTATCCTCCCTTCTAGGCCAACAAACCAAAACTACACAACAGTATATATGAGAAGATATCTCAAGATGACTCTTCTGCAGTGGATCAGGGCTCCTACGTAACTGGTATTTTTTAACATTCTGAGGACTTTTTGACATAGGAGGATTATGGAATCAATTAAAATGTGTCAAGGCAGCACTTACATATAACTATGTGAAAAACGCTATTCATGGAAACTACAAAAATGGAGTCCTTATACCCAAAGAAATTACTAAAAAGCTAACAGTCCTATGAATATACATGTAAAGAGCATTAACTGATGTTGACGATGCTTTTCATAAATAAAGATAATCCTGATTTGTTATAAGTAAGCTATGTACTTTGAATGATTTCAATTCAACAAATATTTACTCATTATATCATTTCCCCTGGCTCAGTCACAACCTCTCTGGGTCTTAGCTTCCTCATCTGTAAAAGAAAATGATTTCCAAAATCCTTTATAGTTCCAACATGCTATGATGGTAAGCTGCTTTCATCAAATATTTCATCTTACTGAAGCAACAGAGCAATCGGGGCAGCGTGGAAAATGCTATTCTAGTGACCTGCACTATTGAAAATTTAAACACCACCTATCCAGGTAAATCAAAGCAAGAGAAAAGTAAGCTTAAGTGGTGCAGTGGATAGAGCACCGGCTCTGGAGTCAAGAGGACCTGAGTTCAAATCTGGCTTCAGACACATAACACTCACTAGCTGTGTAACTCTGGGCAAGTCATTTAACCCCAGTTGCCTCACCACTACCCCACCCCCCAAAAAAAAGTAAGCTTAAAAAACCAGCCAACATTATCTCCTTTGGAGATACAGAAAAAATGTGCTATTTCTGTATAACTGACATTTAAATTCTATGCAATGTGCATTAATTGAGCACCATCTTTGTACTTTAGCACTGTTATATCAGTAAACACAGAAAAATCATCACAAACTCACACACACACACCTTGTTTTTCTTCCTCTGTGTCCATAAAATAAGGTGTTCTTTTCATGGTTGCTCTGAACTCCTGTTTTAGGGCCAACATGTATTCTTCTGCTTCTCCAGCTTTCAGAGGTACTGGCTTATAATCTGTGTCCTATATCATTAAAGAGGGAGGGAGCAAAAGTATTTTTTTAAAAGAACATATACATACATACATACATACATACATACATATATAGATATAGAGAGAGAGAGAGTCATTTTTTATTCCATTAAGTTTTCTTTTCATTTCAACAGAGGCAACTAGGTGGCACATTGGACAGAACTCTGGCCCTAGAGCCAGAAGACCTGATTTCAAATCCAGCCTCAGATACTTACTAATTGTGTGGCCCTGGGCAAGTCATTTAACCTCTGCCTGCCTCAGTTTCCTCATCTGTAAAATGGGGATAATAATAGCACCTGTCTTCCAGGGTTGTTGTGAGGATCAAATAAGATAACATAAGATGCTGTGCAAAACATAAATCTTCATATAGATGTTAGCTATTATTAAGCTTTGGGCATGTTCATTAAATTGATGGGAGAAGTAATTCATTTGGACCCCTACTCTATTCTATGCATTATTAATCAGTTTGCTATGATTCCACAGGGGTAGTGATTATAAGTTCTGTATATTAGGCCCCAGAACTGTAAACTACAGATAGTAAGTTCACTTGCTTAATCATAGGAAGCTAACTAGAGGCCCTCCACCCTTGTTTTTCCTTGTTACGGTGACCAAGCCCAGCATGGCCAAGCTGACTCAATTACATGGAAAGTCCCTCAACTTATTTTTGTACCTCCAGACCATTCTCTCTCCAATATGAGCAGGTAGGCTATCTGATGACCACTTAGTCAGCGGTAATGCCCCATGCTTCGTCCCATCTGAGACCCCTACCCCCACCCCCCATTAACAGAGCATTTCAAGCTGATGCCTCATTTTTTGACCTGCAAAGCAAGATCTATCAACCAAAGAGATTCTGTACTTTGTATAGCCTCTTTAGAATGTTCAGGTATCAAATCTGGTATCAAGCCTTATAAAAATAAGGCCCCAGAAGAAGGGGGTTTCTCAGATCATGAGGAAGATCTGAGGTCCACTTCATTAGAGGGGACCATGGACCCTTTAATAAAGTCCCATTGGCTCAGAGCGCTGCCTCAATCTCTTTTATTGTAGGTTGGACAATTATAATCTCAACATTGTGATACCATGCTAACTTGCAAAAGAAAATAGATTAGATAACTAGTTAAACTAGTATATTTAGGAAGAAAAATAAAATTTTATACATACAAGATAGACAGGGTATATAAGTAAAAGTACAGCTCTCCTCCCCCCTGCCCCCCCCAAAAAACATGCTTGTCATATATAATAATTTGAATGTAACTTAACAAGCAGGACTATGAAATTGATATGATTTGGAGATATATTATATTAGCAAAGAGTAAAACATGTAGAAGTGATGAAGGATACAATCCTTATGATACATTTCAGCACTATTTGGACCCTTAATTGAATCCTCTACCTAATTTTCCCCACATTTAAAACTAATGCATTTTAAGAAAGGCAGTGTGGCACAGTGGAAGGAGGAATAGGCCTCGTAGTCAGGAAGACTTGGGTTTGTCCTCTGCCACCTTCTAACTTGTTGCCACAGACAAGTCAACTAAACTCCTAGAGTCCCGGCGAACTCTCAAGACTATAAATTATAGACACGTTGCTCATTTGCACTGGTGGAGGTAGTTTCTATACCAGTAATTCCCCAAGTAATGAAATCATATTTCTAGATCAAAAGAAGGCTGTCTAGAAACTGAAATCGGTTGAAAGAGAACAAATGAACTAATTCAACAAAATTAAGAAGGCTAAACTAGAATCTCTTCTATTATTACTTGGGCTCTTAACCTGGGGATCCACGAACTTAAAAAAAAATTGCTAAGTACATTTCAAATATAAGTGATTCCCTTTGTAATCCTATGCATTTGATTTTACGGTAAAGAACTCCTGCATAAAGAGAAAGGAAATAATCAGTATTAATAATTTATCTATGAATATTGAACCTTAAGATGGTCTGAAATCTGATCCAAAAGAGTAGAATGGCATGCTGGGATACTTACAGGATATAGTGGTGGAGGTTTCAATACCACATCAGGTAACTTTTCACCTCTAGCAAAACCAATAGCCTCAATGTTAAAGGTAAAAGAAGCACGTCCTCGTCCTTTGTTTCCAGCCATTAGAATTCTTACACTATGGAAAACAGACAGCCAAATCCCAAGGGACAGTATGTTAGGAATAAAAAATAAAATGACACCCTTTAATTTGAATTTGAATCATATTCCCCTTATTCAATTATAAACGTGTCACTTCAGTCAGGGACTATCTCTTCAAAAAAGATTTATTGAAGCACCTACCTTGTTCAAGTCACTAAGTTAGACATTAGAGGTTACAAAAAAAAAAAGAAAGAAAGAAAGACCTTACTGCCCTAAAGTAGTTTGCATGCTTTAGGGGGAGGAGAAGGGGGGGAAGGAGAGAGAGGTGAACAGATATGAAAATCAGGTCTGCTAACCATGAAAACAACATATATAATGACTACAACACTGTAAGTGGAAAAAAAAAAAACTCCAACAAAACACACACACACACACACAAAACAACAACAAAAGAAGCTGAACACTTGATAATTAAAATGACAACTTGGTCCCGGAGAGGAGTTAAGAAAATTTGCCTCCCTCTCTTGTAGAGGTGGGGTACTATGAGTGTAGGATTTTTTTTAGTAGAATAGAAAAAAAGAGGACTGCCCACTAAATTGCAAATCTCTTATGTATAACTTGCTTTTTCCTTTTAAATATATAATAAAGTTATCATGTAAATATTTCCCTCCCCCAATCTAGAGATGGCTACCATTAGACACAAATATGTCTATGTATGTAAAAACCTTGTATGTATACTTATCAATTCTTTTTCAGGATGCAGATAGCATCTTCCTTCACAGGTCCTTTGTAGTTAGTTTGGGTATCTATAATAGTCAAAATGACTTGGTTGCTCCAAGTTGTTCTTAAAACAACATTGCTGTTACTGTATACAATGTTCTCTTGGTTTTGCTCATTTTGCTCTTCATTATTTCATGGAAGTCTATCCGTGTTTTTCTAAGATCATTGAGCTCATAATTTCTTGTATCAGAGTAGTATTCCATCACAATCATATACCACAACTTGTTCAGCCATTCCCCAATTGACAAGCATCTCCACAATTTCTGGTTCTTTGCCACCACAAAGAGAACTGCTATATTTTAGAAAATATAAGTTCTTTTCCTTTCTCCCTAATCATACTGGGACACAGACTTACTGGGTCAAAGGGTATAGATAGTTTAATAACTCTTTGGGCATAATTCCAGATTGCTCTCCAAAATGGTTGAATCACTTCACAGTTCCACCAACAGTGAATTATTATCCCAATTTTTCCACATTCCCTCCAATATTTGTCACTTTCCCCCCTATCATTTTAGTCAATCTGATATATGTAAAATATATTTCAAAGTTGTTTTAATTTGCATTTCTCTAATCAATAATGATGTAGAGCATTTTTCACATGACCATAAATTGTTTTGATTTCTTTATCAAAAAACTGCCTGTTCGTATCCTTTGACTATTTATCAATTGGGGAATGACGTGTATTCTTACAGATTTTATAAAATTCTTTATATATTAGAGAAATGAGACCTTTATCTGAGAAACTGTCTACAAAATTTTCCCCCAAATTTCTGCTTTCCTTCTGATCTTGGCTATACTGGCTTTATTTGTACAAAACCTTTTCTAATTTAATGTAATCAAAATTATGCACTTTATATCCCCCAATACTCTATCTCTTGTTTATTCATAAATTGTTCACCTATCCATAAGTTTGATAAGTATTATGTTCCATGTTCTTCAAATTTTCTTGCATTTTATATCTAGGTGTTGCATACATTTTGACCTAATCTTGGTAAATGGTGTAAGATACTGGTCTATGCGCAATTTCTACCGAATTGCTTTCCAGCTTTCCTAACAATTTTCACCAAATAATGAATAATTATGCCAAAAACTGTACATTTGTCAAACACAAAGTTATCATAGTTATTTGCTGCTATAAATTGTATATCTACTCTGTTTCACTAATCTACCTTCCTACTCCTTAGCCAGTCCTACAAAGTTTCGATAATTACTGCCTTATAATATAGTTTTAGATTTGGTGCTGGTAAACTTCCTGTCTTTACAATTTTTTCATTAGTTCTTTTGATATTCTTGACCTGTTGTTCTTCCAGATGAATTGTTAATTTTTTTTTGTAATTTAATCGAGACAGCATTGAATATATAGAATAATTTAGGTAAAATTGTAATTTTTACTATATCGGCCCTGCCTACCCATGAACAATTAATATTTCTCCAATTATTTAAATCTGATTTTATTTGTATAAAAAGTTTTTATAATTTGGATCATATTGTTCCTAGGTTTGTTTCAGCAGATGTACTCCCAGGTATTTTATACTGCCTACAATTATTTTAAATGGGGTATCTCTTACTATTTCTTCCTGCAGGATTTTATTGGTGATATATAGGAATGATGATGATTTATGTGAGTTTACTTTATATCCTGCCACTTTGCTAACATTATTGTTTCAACTAACTTTTTAGTTGAATCTTTAGGATTTTCCAAGTATATCATCATATTGTCTGCAAAAAGAGAGTTTTATTACCTCATTGCTCATTCTGATGCCTTCCATTTAATTTTCTTCTCTTATTGCTATTGCTCGGATTTCCAATAGAATATTGGAACAGTGGGTGACAGTGGGCATCCTTGTTCATACCAGTTCTTACTGGGAAGGCTTCTAGCTTATCCCCATCACAAGTAATACTTGCTGATGGTTTTAGGCAAACGCTTCTTATCAATTTAAGAAAAAAAATCAATTTATATCTATACTTCTTTTAATAGACATAAGTGTTGTACTTTACCAAAATCTTTTTCTGCAGCTATTGATATAATGGTATAATTGTTACTTTTATTATTGATACAATCAATTAATAGTTTTCCTTATGTTAAATCATCCCTACGTTCCCCTGTTCACAATGTACAAGCTGTTGTAATCTCCTAGCCAGAATTTTATCTACGATTTTTACATTTATATTCATTAATGAAATTGGTCTATAATTTTCTTGCTGATTTTCACTCTTCCTGGTCAATATCATACATGTTTCTCTTTGCCTATTATTCCAGATAATTAATTTAATGCTGGAATTAGTTGGTCTTTAAATGTTTGATAAAAAGTTATTTGTAAATCCATCTAGTCCTGATGCTTCTTTCTTAGGAAGCTCACTTATGGCATGTTCAATTTCTTTTTCTAAAATAGGTCTATTTAGATATTCTATTTCCTCTTCTGCTAATCTAGGCAGTTCATATTTTTGTACATATTCTTCCATTTCACTTAGATTGTTGAGTTTATTAGCATATGATTGGGCAAAATAACTCCTTATAATTGTTTTGATTTCATCTTTGTTAGTGGTATATTCATCCTTTTCATTTTTAATACTTATGATTTGGTTTTCTCTTTTTAAAAATCATATTAACCAATGATTTATCTATTTTATTGTTTTTTTCTCACAAAACTAACTCCTAGTTATATTAATTCAATGGTTTTCTTATATTCAATTTTATTAATCTCACCTTTAATTTTTAGGATTTCCAATTTAGTGTTTAATTGGATTTTCTTTTTTTAGTTTTTTTTTAATTGCATACCCAATTAATTGGTCTGCTCTTTCTCTATTTTATTGATGTAAGCATTTAAAGATACGAATTTTCCTTTGATTACTGCTTTTGCTTTAACCTCTTAGTGGACAGTAGTAGCATCAAAGCTCTTCAGTTTTAAAGCTTCACTGATTGGATGACCACTTTAAATTTAGTAGTCATACTTCTTCAGGGATCTCATAACTCCCATGGTATCAAATTCAACATCCTTCTATCCTGAAATCACTGGTTTATGTTGTTCAACACAGAATCAGTTGGAATTTTCTTTTCTGTTCATATGAACTACATGAAGAAACAAATATTCATTTGGATATTTCACATGATGTTTATTAGAGTTGGAAAACACTTTATTTTAATAATATTAATAATAATTCCATCTAACTTTTTAAAAAATTATTAAGCCTTACTTTTTAGACTCTAGGGATGCAAATACTAAAATTAAAAAAAAAACCCAACCCATTATCAATGACCTTACATTCTACTAGGCAAACCCCTCATGTGCCTACATCCCAATATTCTTATAGTTTTCCTTTGCTTGTTTTTTTAAAAACATAACTCAAAATTAGCTAATTATGTTAATTATCTTTCATTTAAAAATTTTCTCCTTCTGCCAGCTCAGACATTCTGTGATTCTCTACCTTTTTAGTACAAAACTAAAAGGCAGAAGAGATTAATGTTCAAATGGCATCCCCCCAATGGTTTTTTAATTGCTAAGTCAATGAAATATATACTGGGTCTGTCAAGGCAAGTTTTTGAAGTACTGGGAACATGCTAAGGAACATGGCAGACCAAACAATTTTCTTAATCCCCATTGACTCTCAAAAAAAAATACAAAAAATAAATTATACGCCAACATTATAATAATTAAAGTTGAATCTGTAGGGGGAAAAAAAGAAATAAAGATGCCTTCAGGAATTTACATACAAGAAAACTAATCTTTAAAGGCCTTCCTTCTCCTCTTTGTAAGGCACAAGGCTCCTGGTACTGAGGTACAAATCAACTGGAAAGCCTGGCCCTGGGGACTATACTGAGATCCCCCCTCACATCATTTCATCTCACACTTTATCATACTGTTCTCCTCCCCTTGCCCCAATTAAGGCTGTAGAGGCTGGGCAGTTCCTGATTAGGGTCAACCAATGAAAGAAAGTACAAAAATGGAGGGAGGATCTGGGGCAAGGAAGCAACATGAGTGGGTAGCATTAAGTCTGAGGGCAGAGACTCAAATCATTATACACTCAATCCCCAGTGTGGGAGGAGGCTGAAATAGCTTTTTAGCCTGGCCCCACTGTACCTATAGGCAAAGAGGGAGGAGTCACAAATTAAGTCACAGGAATTGGGGGGGGAGGGGAAGAGAAAGTACAGGCAAATAAAACAACAGAGAAGATAATAAAACTAAAAGGAAAAGTACTAAACAGATGACAAAGTTCTTTTAATAAATATTACAAAACAAAGGAAAGTGAATTAAAGCC